CTGGTTCTGAGTGCTGCCTGACTCATGCATTGTTCTTTGCTCAGATAAACTCTGTTACATTTAATTTCTCTAAATTTGTTATTTTAACAGCTACCTAGAGATCAGGTGCATTGGAGAAACTGAGGCCTTTTAGCAAGATATATATCACATAGTAAGTAATTCTGCATTTATATGTCTGTGAGATACTTAAGGGGAGAGACCATGTTTTTTTCACCTTTGAATCCCTAACATTAAGGATGATGCCTGGTACCTAGCTGAAGTCCCATGAATATATATCCTTCAGTGAGTGAAGATGTTTCATGATGATATAGTGCTTCACAGTTCATTTCCCATCCAAAACCTGCCAGTATATCTTAATTAGCCTTCATCTGGTTTATCTCAGCCTCTGTTATCAACTGCAAAATAGCAATAATTAGGACCGTTTATGTAAAAGGACAAATAAACATGTGCCATAAATATTGAAAAAGCAGCCAAGAATACTATTCTCCTTGCCCTAGAAATATCAAAAGCTGAATAACTTATTCTCCCTAAGTAGAAAAACCAATTACAACATCAAAAATTACTTTTTTTTTTCCAAAGAAAAAGAGATGTACTAGATAAGCAAGAGTCCCACAGAAATCCCATTTATTTTTCAAATTTTAGTTTGATTTCAGGCTCTGCACATTTCTTGTTTCTGCAAGCATTAAAAAGTCAATTCCTCCAAACATAATCTGCAGCCATAGACACCGTGCCAAGTAATTTACAGTGCTTTCCTAAGAAAAACTAACAACTTCTCTGTTTCCTTTTAAATGGTCTTACAGAAGTAAATTGTGTATACAATTAATTCATCCCTGAATGTTTGCTATTAATTCAAAGAACTGAGATCTTGGGTATTCCCACTGAAGCTCAGAAAATACAGAAAACTGACTCAGGTTGCTTTTGCTGACTCACCTTTATTCTTCTAAATGTGGATTAGGAATTAAACTAATGTAAATGTAAGGATGATTTCACATGCTAACTTTCCCAGAGCTAGTGCATATTCTAATCTGAAGCCGTAATTGCTGTATCAATATGTGCATGTTTCTGGAAAAGACTTCAGAAATTTTTCAAAAGCTCTGAACAAAATATACATCATTAACTACTGCATCCTAAAAATCAGGCATTTCTTCAACATTTTTGGCTGTCTTCTTCAGCTTGCGCCTTTGTAAAAGGTTGTCCTATTATAGTAGCATCTTGCACATTGTTGTTGATTCTTGATAAGTATTAGCTAAATAAATTAATACATACATTTTTATAATATCTTTTTTAGGGCAAAAGATCCTAGAATATTTTTATTTAACCATGAGTGGTAGTAAGACATAGACCTGTGAAACAGTAGATTGGGTTCTACAACATTACTAGAGTTAGATAAGGGTTTGTCTATCTAATTCTAAGTTCTCATCTACTTCTGAGGGTCTATATGTTATTCAAGAACACAGAGAACAGCACACGGGTAATGGTGTCAAAAACGGAACCAGAATATTTTTACTTTGCCCCTGAATTATTGGCTACATTTCAAGATACAGTGGCTTGGAGAGGTATTTCCCTTTAGAAAAATAAATAATATCTGAAATGAATTACGGAGTCTTCATGAAGAATTGACGGGTGCCTAATGGATTTATAATGTAGACAATCACCATAGACATAGTTTATGGTGAAAGTACAACACAAAGTGAGTTCTAGTTATTATTTGTTTCTATGCATGAATTCATTCATTCATGAAGTAGTTTTATGTACCTACTAAGAACTAGGTAAAGCACAGCTTGAACTATGACTTGTTCTCAAACAGGTATCAGTTTGCTTGTTTGCAGATTTTATTTCTATGTTTATGTATTCATCCAATAATCCTGAGCTCCTGCTAGCCAGATACTGTACTAAGTGTTAGGAATATAGCAGTGCACAAAATAAACACAATTCTACTCGTTGAGCTTACAGTGTAGAGGGTGATACAGGCATTTAGTTTGAAAATCACATAAATAAATGTACAATTATAAATTGATTCTTATGAAAAATAGAAAGAAAATGTATAATAGGGGGCCTGATTTTCTGTTTCAGAGAGCTTCTCTGAAGACGTGCAATTTAAACTTGGATCTAAGATGACCAGAAGTTAATGAGGCAAAGTGTAAAAAGAGCTTTTCAATTCCAGGGAAAAGCGTATGTGAAACGCTTGAGACTAGAAGAGATTTAGTGCATTTTGTGAATAAAAAGAAGGCCAACATGAATAGTGTGGTTAGCAAAGTGAAATGAGGTATCCAAAAGGCAGGCAGGGGCTAGGTCATGCAGAGCCCGGATGCTATGTTAATGACTTCGCATTGCATCCTAATGCAAAAGGAGATCTGATCTGTATTTTTTACAGATCACTTTGGTTGCATTGAGAATAAGCCTGGAGGTCAACAGTGGAAATGGTGAGAACAATTAAGAATCTACTATAGGTGGGAGATGATGGGGTCTTGGATTAAAGTGGTGGAAATAGTAGTAAAGCAAAGTGAATAAATCTGAGATATTTTGGAGGTAGAATCAACAGGACTTGAAGATGAATTGAATGGTGGATGTGAGGGAAAACAAGGTAGTAAGGATGACTCTCAAGTTTTTGGCCTAAACAATATGGTAGATGTATGTGCCATTTACTAAGTTGAGGAAGTATGGAGGAGGAGCAAAGTGGGGTGAAATTAAGATTTTTGGTATCAATGCACTGGTAGTGACAAGGCCATTAAAATAGCTGTCAGTGTGTTTTTGTGTTTTTATGACTGTTTTTCTACAAAGATAAGATAAAGAATAAGATAATGGAAAAAGAAAAAAGGTGAAGGAAGGGGACCAAAATAGAATAAATTGAAAATAGAATTCTCAAAAAGGGGAATGATGGATGGGGGTTGGGGCCTGGTGCATATCAGAATTAGACAGGGTGTGTCATTTGAAAAAAAAAATTCAACATTGTATTATAATGTTTTTATTTGAAAAATAAATAACTCTATTGTATTCATGATACAGATGACAGAAAGCAAGCTGAAAAGAATCATATCTGGTAGGTTCACATAGAGGTAAACTCTTATCGGCTACTTACTGGTGAATTTTTCAGAAGGGATGCTTCAAAATCCCCAGTGGAGTGGAAGGAAACCAATGTAACTTTTACATTAATAAAAAAGGAACACAGGATAAAAAGAAAAAAAAAATATTTACTGACACAGAGCCAGAAGAAGGGAAGGTATATGAGAAGTCAGGGTAATGATAGAGAAAGGATAGAAAAAGAGAAATGGGTGGAAATTTTTTTCCAGTGAGCGAAAATGGCTAATGGTCTGCCAGGTCAGTCATCATCTGGGTTGGAATCCCAGCTCTGTCACTTACTAGTGGATGATCTTGGGCAAGTCAGGTAACTTATCAAGTCTCAATTCCTCATTTGCAAAACAAAGATAATTATAACATCTACCTCATAAAGTTATTATGAGTATTCAAATACATAATTCATAAGAAGTATTTAACAAAATGCCTGGCACAGAAGAGCTCAATAAATCTGAGCTACCCTTCTGTAGCTGACTATAGGTACATAATTACTAGCAAGTCATTACAGGTATGTGGCTCTTCTCACTTCCTTAGGGCTATGGTGACTTTGACCTTTTAGCTTTAAAATGGCAGAGTTCATTGTATCAAAGAAATAGTTTTAATGATTTGTTAAAAATGTAGGTGGATTTAATATTTATAGAGTATTCTGAAATATTATTAGACTTTAATTATTGCAAATTAATAAAAATGCCCTAGCCGATTTACATAGTGAAAAATGTGTTTTCTCATTTATTTCTGGAAATGTTAGATGTAATTTAAAACTTGTGATTCAACTCTCCTAGATAGAACAGTAATTGACTTCTAAACTTATTCTTTCAAAATATCAAAAAATAAAGATGATGTTCTTAGCAGACCCTCTTGATATATCCATCTTCTCTCTGAATCATTCTAAAGAATCATTCTAAAGGCTGTATTTTCTCAGTCCTAACAATATTATGAAGATATTCCTGTCTGAAAACATTATATAGACACCCCATTTTGTATAGGAACATTACAATTGGGATCTCTGTTTAGACTGAATTGGAACTACCTTGTGGAACACTGAATTCTATTTTTCTTGCTTTCCTCTCTCTCCAACTCAGGCTACTAGGAAAAGATGAGGTCTTTTTTGTTATTTTCATATATATGCTTTGGAACACTAACACAGAATTGTGTTCAACTTTCAGACTTAGACTAATTTCTTTACAAAGTTGTTGAAAGACTCAAAACATTCTAAGGTCAAATTTGGACTCCACATTTATTGGCAAGATCATACTGAGGGCAATGCCTTTAACCACTCTGAACATCTATTTCTTTAAATAGGCTGGGAGCAGTAAATACAAGAATATATATATATGTATACATCTAGCATGATAACATAATATAAACATTAATTTTATGTTCTGTGTGGTAAGATGGAACCAAGTAATTCTGTAGTTTTTGACAAGTTGCTTAATACCTTAAGGACTCAGTTAAATGGTGATATTAATCTAATATTTTAGTTAAAATATTAAATGGTGATAATAGTACATATTTCTTAGGCCACGTTATGCCTGGAGCAGAGTAAGCACTTATTAAATATTATTTTAAAATATTCAACAAATGTTATCTTTCATCCTTCTGTATGAATGAAATGTTGTTAAATTCCAAAATTAATTGTTCTAGAAAAGTATAATTGATACCTTATTAAAATGTATAGGAACCAGGAATATGTGGAGCATCCTGTGATCATGTCTAAGTGCTCTGTGATCACTCCAGGGAACAAAACAAAACAAAAAGGCAATGTTCTTAATTTCTCCCATTGCACCAAGGGAACAGCAGAACATCTCTCCAACTTGGGGAAGATGTTTAGTGCAAGAGAAGTGAGCAGAGGCAGATTCTACCCATTCATTCTTGTGGAAGCACATGCAGTTCGAGAAGATGAAGTGAGGAAGCGCATGCAGTACCTGGTCATCTCAGAGTCAGGGAGCAGGCCTAGGTGGTAGTGGGAATAGGGAGCTGAGAGAAGGAAGCTTTTGTCACACTCAACAGGGGAATAGTGCCTGGGAGAAGCAGGCTTATCACATAGTTTGTTCACAGTGCTGTAAACAGGTTCCGGAGGCCTGGTGATACAAGAGGAAGAGAAAGATATGCATGGTTAGTATATACAAGGAACATGTGTGCAACCAGTAGCATTTCACCATATGCAAAAGTAAAAACGATGCCATTTTTCTTGATTTGTTATTAGAAGAAACCCAATTTTTCCACTTGTAACTTTTCTTATAATAAAGACTTTATTCCTCAGACTTTTTTGTGGGTAAGTACGGCCCCATGAAAATGTTCAGTCCTATGTGATTTGAGTGCTCTGAAGTGTTCGGTGAACTGGAATAGCTGCTTATAAGGAAGCTCATTTAGCTGGAATTCTTGAAATTTTGTTTTCTCACATTTCCTCCCTTTACTCACCTGGAACCCAGACGTGATGGGTAGAGCTTCACTGGTCATCTAAGACCATGAAGCAAATTTGAGGATAAAGCCAAAAAATACACATAAAGGAATATAAAGACAGCACTTGTGTCACTGATGATATGGAGTGGCACTATACTAACTATGGACTAGCTACCTTTGAATTTCTTCTCTGTGGATAAAGATAAACTGTATTGTTCAAGCTAGGATCATTTTTTTTTCTTATATAAATGAGACCTAATCTTAACAGATATACTCCTACAAAATTTAAGACTGCACATCTAATACAAAGAAATAAGTATAAATAAGGTTTACTACAAATGTTAATGTATTTAGTTATGTTTGGAGTCCATCTAATATCTTCTGTATACATAGGAAATGTAAACAATGCTATTTTCTTTCCATATAAATTGGGCCTATGTCTCTTTGGAGAAATCTCTGCATCTTAATTTGAAAATATTATTATACATAAAACGGCAGCTGATCTAAACTGCCAGCATAGAAACTTAGAAGAAAGGATTCAGTGACTTCTTTTAGATCATAAAACATTCTCATGATAATGTCATCTCAGTAACATTGTTTCTGCCTGGGAGAGCTGATCCTATTTTCTCAGTCTGATGTTGACTCTCTGCAGACTAAGAAAATGTGTTTCCAATTTTCTCCTAGTCCTTTTACCTCAGTAGCACCATATTTTGAGTCAAATTTTCACAATCAAAGCTGGCTAATGGAGATCTTTTAGAAATTCCTGGTTACATTGTATTCAACCGAAGAAAGATAAATATTTTACTTTCTGAAAATTATAATAAATTCAAGCCAACGAAAATGAGGTCTTGTATTTTGTCCAGGGTTGAACTCTTGAAACTTTTATTTGAATCTTTTTGGAACCATTTTATGAATATAATATTATCATTTGATTCACATATTTAGTAGATTTGGTGTTTGGAACAGGCTTTAATACCTTGGATTTTAGAAGAAGGCTCTTATTTTTTTTGCTTTCAGTCACCTTCAGGATGGTTTCATAGTGGACCGATACTTGCTAAGCTTAATTCTTCACTTTTCAAAGTCTTATCAACACAGAGAAACAGTTACTGATATTGCAGGTATATTTTACCTTTGTTTCACCTTCTATTTCTTCCCTATTTATTTACTTCTTATTTTGTACATTCACTGGCTAAAGAATAGAGATATCAAATCCAGTTTCTTTTGTTGATTCACTTAATATCTCAGAAGATGGGTAGATGAAAAGATACCAAAACATAACAAACCACTTGAAAATTTGACAAAGTCTTCTTGCAATATTGACAAAGTTCTCTTGCAATCAAACAACAACATCAAAAATATCAGTGAAAATCTCCTTTCAAGTGGCATAAAAATGGGGTTCACGTTTGAAGATTTCTATCTAATGACGTTATTACAGTGCTAGGATTCTGTCATATATTCTATCATACAGTATGTATATTATGTACCAGAGCACAGTGTGGTATACAGAAAGTACAATACAGGCTATAATCTGAACACAGAAATGGCACATAGTAGGTATTTGGTAAATGTTTCTTTGAATGATTTTTTTTTTTTTTTTTTTTTTTTTTTTTTTTTTTTTTTTTTTTTTACCATTCTTTGCTGAGGGAAATTTTAAAAAACCTTCTGGTTCTTTCAAGGGAGCCATAAGTTACTCTAAATTTTTTAGGCCATTATAAATTCTCACAGGTTATACCAGAAGAACCAGAATCCCAACATCATCATGAACGGATTGGCTTTAAGTACTTAATTAAAGCATGTGTACATGGTTCATCTGCCCTCAAAGGGATAGGTTTCTTGTGTGTTTGAGTTTAGCCACTGCAATGCCTGCCTACAGTTCCTGTGAGAGTCACTCCAATGGGCACAGTGGGCTCCTCACAGACTTCTCAGCCCTGAGTTGCAGAAGGCCTAATACTGGGAGTCAGCATTCTTAGTCTTTCCCCGCAGTTATATTCTGTGTGACCTCTCCCCATCAGACAAACAAGAAATGCCATTTTATAAACCATCACGGATCTGGGTGGCAGAACAGATGCCACTATCACTTCCCGTTCAGTTGGTTAAGGAAGTGCCAAGGGGAAATGACTTTTGGCAGCATGAATCAGCTAGTCATAATTGACAGGGCCTGCTTGGAACTGCCAGAATGGCCTAGGTCAGAAGGTAGTGAATATGGAAATCTAATCCAAGAGGTCTAACTGTGGATGCCCCCAGAAGGAAGCAAAAGCATTCAAAGATACTGGTACAATCTCTAAGTGAATTTATAAACAAATCATTTATCTTGCTGTCCATTTATAAAGAGCCATAGATAATGACTTTGTTGCTCATCTGCTGAGCCATCAGCATTTATTTGCATATCTATGGATTTATAATTGCAGGTTCTTATAGCATATAATTAGCACACCCTGGCCCTTGGTGATCTCTCTTTTCTCTGAACTCCATTAGCACTTGCTATTTGTTCTATTTCCTTGTCATTTTAAATTGCTAATCCACAATACTGGTGTATGTTGGAGGGAAGTGCTTCATCTATACCTTATTCTTAGGAAAACTACCTTGCCTATAACTGTTCCTTCCCATTTGGACAACTTGCCACTACCAAATTCAGTATCCTCCCTAACCAAAGCAGTTTAGACCATTGGATAAGGATTGGGCCCCTCACCTTGCAACCATGATCTGTATGGTGGGACTCAAAAAGAAAAAAAAGAAAGAAAAAAGGAAAAGGCCTAGGCCATTTGGATTCTCCTATGGAAGGTGAATAATGTGAATAAAGGAGATGAAATTATCAGTTAACAGAATAAGGAAAGGATGCAAAAATGGAGAAGGTAGCTGTAGCTGTGTCCACTAATTATAGAGCACTGGAGTGAAGCTCTATCAAATTTTGTTGCTAAAAATGTCTAGAGGTACCTTGAGTCTAGAATAACTGTCTGGGTTCATTCTTTCAACTGGGTTATGAGAGCTCATGCTATTGAATTTCTTTGATGATTCCCATATGACATTAGTTGTCAATCAACTACCAATCTCCCACCACATCTCCTTATTGGAAGTGAGATCTGATCTCATGTTTGCAATCAGTACAGTGAAAATAAAACAGGCACCTTGTTTATTTTCACATCTCTTTCACATCACCTCAACTAGACTATACCTTCCAAAGCCAACAGACAAAATCTTGGGCCTCTGTAATTTCATAGTACCTGAGACTAATACCAGACTGATTCTATCTTTAAAAGTTTGATATTTTGTTCATTATAAATTCTTTTGCATTAATTTTATTTTCTAAAATATTTCATTAAAGTATTTTTGTCTTAATTGCTGTTTCTTGGTGTTCCCTTAAATTTTGCACCCAATATGAGTACCTCGCTCACCTCACTATAGTCCCGGCCCTGTATCAGAGATAATAAATGTTTAAGACAGTGATAATAATGACTGTGATTGTAAATAGTCTTCATCTGTGTAGCACCTGAAGCGATAAGGTCAAAGGAATATGACTCTCTTCTCTTAGAGATAACAATGAGAGTGATTTACACTTTATTGAGTTTTCTAACTCCTTACCAAAGGGCTCTCAAAGCCTTCAGGCTGTCTTAGGCAGGGACCTCACCTCATTGTACTATCTTTATTCATTCACAATGCTCTCTCCTTCTCTAGAATATTAGATCCTGGAGGATCAGGACCAAATCTCCTGTGTCTTTGTTTCCTCATTACTTTCCTGAATGCAAGAATGTATTACTGAAGCACTGTCATAGAAAGTGAAAGGAACTGTGAAAAACGAAAGTGATCAGTACTTTTTATTCTCTTTTCCTGAGCCAGAACTAAAAGGGGGCATCTAAAATTACAAAAAGATGGATTTGGGTCATATATGTATATGATTTTGAGCATAAATTTCTTCATCATATAGACTAATATGGCTAAATCTGCAGACCTTTCAGATTCTCCAAAGGTTATACTGCTATGGTCTTCTTTGGTTGCCCTAATGGGAGGGGGGCATCCACCCGCATGCCCTGTATTTGCAGAATATAGAACCAAACTGCATTAATTATAGTAGCTGGGATGTCAAGGGCTCAGATGCCTAAGTATCTAATATATTGCCAGACATAATTGGAGGAAAAAGGATTGTAACTTTAAAAGGGTGCCTCATGCTCCTCTTTACAAATAATACACTGTTTATTGGGCCAACGATTTGGAAAAGTATAAGAGGATTGAATTCCAGGGCTGGGCTAATAACTCTGAAGGGTGGGATTTTGGGAAGCCCTAAAAGTAATTAGGGGATAAAAGAGAATTAGTATCAGGTTGTGAACTATGTGGCTCAACATGTGAAATGACATTATAAAAATGATTAAGAAAGAGGCTGACTTCTGTTATACTGAACTTTAAGCAGAAAAGTATTAGTCACTTGATTAAGATGTTATATGGGCCTTAAAATATGACATAGAGACATCTACGGGAGGGATTGATCTAGGTGATTTGTAAGAACCTATTCGCCCCCCTGATTCCAAGCACCATTGAATTGAGCACTCAAGAATTTCCACTAGGGAAGCTGGAGTAGATGCCGATTTGCACCACACTTACTTAACTCTTTCAAATCTTAGCTTTCTCATTTATAGACCTAAAATAATATTTAAAAAGTTTTTTCTGTATACCAGAAAAATTATAA